AATTATCATTATTATTATCATCATCATTATTATTATTATCACTATTACTAACATCATCATCATCATCATCATCATCATCATCATCATCATCATCATCATCATCTCACTATTACTATCCATTGAAAAATTTTCAAATTTTATACAGGTTCATCATCATCATCATCATCATCATCATCATCATCATGATAATCAACACCATCATCATTGTAAATAGCAGGGAATAAAAAAAGGGTATGAGACTTAGTAGACTTTTCAAATTTAATAAGTTCGACGTTTCGCCCTGTAAAGGGCTTCTTCAGGAACATGTACAAAAAATGTAATGGAAAATCTATTGACTACAAGCTATAGCAACAAAAGTGCGCGCTTACACGTCATAATGTCAAAAGGTGCGATAAAAACAAAATCGGGAAGACCAGATCGTCATCATCATCATTATCATCATCCTCATCACATCCTTACCTTCACAGGTGAGATTCCCATAGCCCCACCTCCCGCTGTTCAGACACTGCACCGTCTGGTTCCCCAGCGCTGACACGCCCCCCATGTTCTGTGTGAAGCCTATGCTCGAGTCGCACATGAACTCAAAGGTGCCGCCGTATCTGGTTGTATTGGGGGTCACCGGCATAGAACCAGGGATTGGCCAAGGGTCACCACAGTCAACCACTGAGGACGGAGAGAGTTAGAGGATGGTTGGTCGAAACATTTTATACATAATATATAATCCTATTATACGGGTGCGAAGCATGGACAATCAATAAACAGCTGGAAAGAACAATTGAGGCGACAGAGTTTTGGTCCATAAGACGCATGCTACGTATCCCACGGACAGCTAGAAAAACACATGAAGAAGTCTTGGTTGAAGCAAATTGTAGAAGACAGCTTATGACGAATATAAGAAAGCGACAGGCAGATTTCTTCGGACACACAATGCGGAAAGAAGCATTGGAGAATATTGTAACAACAGGCAAGTTTGATAGAAAGAGAGGCAAAGGCAGAGGCAGACAGAGGTAAAAGATACTGGACAAGATGACAACATGGCTGGGAGCAGCAAGAACAAAAGACGCCATTGCTGCAATGAAAGACAAAGTGAAGTGGAGGTCCATGATCGCCAACGCCAGTCGGCAAGGCACCGGATGATGATGATACTTTATATCATATAAGGAAAACAATATTATGTTTATGTGTGTGCGCGCGTGAGTGTGTGTATGTGTGTGTGAGTGTGTGTGTGCGTGTGTGTGTGTGTGTGTGTGTGTGTGTGTGTGTGTGCGTATGTGTGTGCGTGCGTGTGGGTGTGCGTGCGTGTGTGTTTGTGTGTATGTCGATGAGTGTGTGTGTGTGTTTGTGTATGTGTGTGTGTGCGTGTGTGTGTGTGTGCTCGTCCTTTTCCCCCTTTCTTCTTCTTTTCCTTCTTTTTCGTTTTCTTTTCTTTCTTTTTAAATGCGCCTCCTCTTGAAGAACTTGCTTTTTAGAACGATCCTTCTGGAAGGACGCCTGTTTCTAATGCAGCCTCCTTTTTGTATTTTATTGTTGTTTTGCTTTGTTTTGTTTTTTACTCGATTGTCTCCATCTGCACTGTTCTTGTTTTGACCCCCTTGTAAAACTCCTACAAATACACTGTTCTTGTTTTGACCTTGCTCATATAACGCCTCCAGTTAAAACGTGCTTGTTCTGACCTTGGCGTATAACACTTAAAAATACACTGTTCTTGTTTTGACCCCCTTGTAAAACACCTACAAATACAACGTTCTTGCTTTGACCTTGGCGTAAAACACCTACAAATACAATGTTCCTGTTTTGACCTTGCTGTAAAACATCCTTGTCTTCACATTGGCGTAAAACATCTACAAATACAACGTTCTTGTTTTGACATTGCATGCTATAAAACACCTACTAATACAACGTTCTTGTCTTGACCTTAACGTTAAACACCTAAAAATACAATGTTCTTGCTGTAAAACTCCTCCAAATACAATGTTCTTGTTTTGACATTGCTATAAGACACCTACAAACACAACATTCTTTTTTAACCCTAGCGTAAAACATCTACAAATACAATATTATACCATTGTCTCGGCCTTACCTGGACAAATCGGGTCATCGCCTTGCAGGATGAACTGTTTGGGGTCGTTCGGATCTGGGGCACAGTGCAGAGTTCGGTTCCCGATCTCCCCGCTACCGTTGTCCGCCATGCAGCCAATAATCAGAGTCTGGCCCGCCATGATGTTTCCAATCTGGGGGACTCGGAACGCTTCCAGACCCAAGACGTCAGACGCTGGCTGCATGCATGTCAGCTCTGGAAAGATTTGTGAGGAAGCGTGGGGAAATCAAGCTCTCGTCAAAATATTGAAATCGAAGAAAAAAGCAATTCTTTCCTCCAGTTTGGCAATTTTAAATATCGAAGTTTAGTTTTTCGGCTAAAAACTTTTATGTTAATGTGAAAACACATTTATATACATTTTACTGAAAAACGTTGTTTAAAGGCACACCATAATAATATGCAATTTTCAGTTTTCAAGTCCTTCTTTCAGTCTGATATTTCAGATTGACGGAGATTGGGGTTGCTTTGTGTCAGGTGCAAAATTAGCGAGAAAAAGAGAAATCACACAAACTGCACACATCGATAGTAAAAGGAAAGGAATGTTGTTCCCGCATCCGATTCGGACATTGAGGATTGCCTTGTTAGTGAGACAACTTCCTTGACCTTCGGCATATTGTGGTAGGGTGGCCAGTTCCTTTCCACGCCCCCTTTACTTCCCCAACTCGAAGTCAGGTACCCATTACTGCTGGGTGGGAAGAAAGGGGGGGGGGT